AAGAAAAGTGTTAAAGAATTATCTATATTCTTTCATTGAATTGTTTGGAAATAATTGGATAATTTTGACATTTAGAAACATCAATCTATCCTTAGGTAAAGATTTTAGTTTTCACGTTTAACTAATGCCCTCTGAAATCATTCAAGTCTTAATACTTTGCAGCATAATGATTCGGGGATGATGCACTGTGAGCGCTCCCTTGGTAACTGTCTCAATTTCCATAAATACTCTCAGCAATGGAAATGAATTTGAGTACTATTTCTGAAATTTAATCACGTCACATTTTAGCAGTCAGGAGGGAACTGTAGATGGCTACTGTGGGCCCCATAGCCCAATGGATGAACACAGTCCTCGTTATTTTTAGATTAGTTAACGAAAAGGCTATCAATTTCCACTGTACACACTTTAGTTTAAACATCATGTTCTGTTAAATGTACATGGCAAAGCATATCTGTTTTTATAAGAATAGGTTTCCATTCCAGCTCATCACCATTTTTCTGTCAAGCTGTGTATGGAAATGTTTGTCTAAACACTGAAGTGTATGTCATTTAACAGCAATCAGAAAATCTAAATTAGAGTGTTAATTAGAAGAATTGCTGTAATACTATAATAAATACTATGAAGACAAATGATTTACAGATATCAATCAAAAGTAACTTCAATCAAAATGAAACATAATTAAACTTAATTAAATCTCCCATACTAAATTAATAAAAAATAAAACCAAAAATAACTGAGATCTGCCAAAGTCAATGAGAGGTTATATGAACCTTATCTAGAGATCTAAACTGAAAATTTTTAAATGAGATTATTGCCTTCACCCACCTACAAACATATTTAGTAAATAATTAATGTAAAAATTATAGGTACATTTTTGCCAAGTATTATGACATTTCTTATTAACATTTGATATACTTACATTATTGAAAATGTTTAATAAGTGATTTGCATAATATTATTACCACATAATTGGGCATCATGTTATGATAGAGACAGTTAGATATAAATTTATTCCTTATAAAGTAAAAGTGCTTACTAGCTATAGTAATTTTTTTAAAAGATGAAAGATTTATATGATCTGAAGAGAAACAAGAGTATGTTCTACTAATTAAAGACACATGATACACTAAATAATTCACACATATTTTTATATATTTATTAAAGCAGTATCTCAATATAACCATCTTGCATTCTCATATTTGTTGATTAATTAATTGATATGGATGAGAGATAAATAAGTGATCTAAGATCAGTTATCGAGATGCCTGCATGTCAAAATGGCATAAAAAGAGAAATAGGGTCCCTGTTTAATTGTCTTATTATAAATCCACCTGCAAACCCTCACTGCAAAATAGAGTTATAAAAGGTTTTATCAAGGCAAAGGAAAGCAATTCAACTTGCAATATCATTTAGTGAGTACCAAGTAATATATCATAGTACATCTTATTACCCTAGAAAATACAGCTTTATAATACTGCTGAAACACAGAAAGTTGGGCAAAAAATAACCTGATAATATTTGAAGACACTGAGAAATCAGATATCATCCATACACCTGAAGATCTCAGAGTGCTACCTTCATTCATTCATTCATTTAGCAATATTTATTGAACACTTAGTATTTTCCAGTTCTATTTAGGCAGTTGTGATTAGAACAGTAAACTCTCTCCCTTGAGCAATATATACTTCATTGGAGAACTAGTCAATAAACAATATTTAAAAGTAAAAATTATATGTTTGTGATTAATGTCAAAGAGAAAAACTATAGCAGCGCAGGGGGTGAGTGCGTGTTTAGAAGCATTGTGGTAGGGAGGTGGGTAGGTCAGGGGAAGCCACACCGATACGATGTCTCTATGCAAGGACCTGAAGAAAGCGTGGGCTGTTCAGAACAAACACTATAGGAAAACAGAGGCAGAAAAGGAAATGCTCTAGGACAAGAATGTGCCAGGTGTGTGCCAGGACCAGCTAGTGGCAGGAGCAGTGCATGAGAAAGTCAGAGTCCCAGGTGATGAGGTGAGAGGGGAGTGAGTAGAGTGGACATAGAGGGAGGTCTTGCAGGCTTCAGAGAGCAGGACTGTAATTTTGACTGTCTGAGATCAGGAGCCAGTAGAAGTTTCTGAGCTGCAAGGTGGTGTACTTTGACTTTTCACAGGTTCCCTTTGGCAGCTGAGTTGAGAATTAACTGGGTAGGAGCACAGGCAAAAGGATGGAAGGACGTCTGTTAGGTAGAATTGTCTAGTGGGAACTTTCATGTCTGTCAAAAACTGTTTGTTGCCTCCTTTGCTGTACAATTTTTTCCCTGTAAGACAAATTCCTTCTGGAGTGATTGTGGGTGTGTGTGCATGCGTGTGTCCACTGGAGTTTCCTGGGAGCCTCATGGTTAGCGGGGAGCCCTGGCTTAATAGCTCTTACTCCTTTTTCTTCTCTCCCTTTTCTTTTCTATATGCTTTATAAAGTTTTCCAGCTAACCTCTGCTCCTTTTTAGCACTTCATCTTTTTATCTATATTGTCATTTGTTTGTGCCATTCATCTTCCAGTTCACACTTGTGGCATGAGAGGGGCTAGAGACACAAGGTGAGAGGAAGAAGCATACAGGGAGAGGCACGGTCAGTCTGGCTTGTCATCACATATCCAGTGCTTTCATTAAACAGTCATTTAAAATATAATGATAATTTCCAGATCATAAAGGCACTTTATGATACTTTAAAGTATCATTTTACTTTAAGCCTTTTTATTTTATTTTTTAAAAAATTTTTTAAATATATTTTTATTTATCTTTAGAGGGGAAAGGAAGGAGAGAGGGAGAGAAACATCAATGTATGGTTGCCTTTTGTGCGTCCCCTGCTGGGAACTGGCCTGCAACCCAGGCATGTGCCCTGACTGGGAATTGAACTGCAATTGTCTGGTTCCTGAGCTGTCCCGTAAGCTACAGCAGCCAGGGTACTTTAAGCCTTTTTAAATAAAAATCAAAATATTTGGAATAATAATGAAGACACAACCATAATATGAAACATATTCAACATTAAATTACTTCCTTTGTGTTAAGGTTCTGTTCATATTCTTCCTGTTTTTATCTGTTGTATTTAATATTATTGAACTTAGAGAGATCATAAATTAAGGATAAGTGATATTTGCTTTCATGATTACTGTATTTATTTCCCCCCATTTATTGTGCTGTATATAATAGTATTTTGGTACAAATATTTTAGTGTTCAAGTCCCTTGTAGTCCTTTACAAAATCTGCTCTTATTTATTACTTTGGAGGTGTGTTGAGAATGATTTCATCTTAAAATGTTCCAGAACTTAATTAGACCATCAGTAGAAACAAAAAAGAAGTGGGACAAGTGAAGCTGGTATGAGTGCAGGAGCCTGAGACTAGGCTGAAGACAGTTGGATTTGAACACAACGATAATGGCATTTCAGTATGGGCGTCACCTGGCGCTCCCAGTAGTTAGTCTCTATCATTCTTCCTTCCCTCACCCTCCTGAAGTATCTGCCAAAACAAATGGCTTCTCCACCATTATGGCAGGGATAAGCTGACTTAATGGTGTGACTGTGGGACAAAATTCAAAGCCCAGCAAATAAATAATCTTACTAAAGAGTGAGAGGCAGCACATTGATTATAACCTATGTGATATAAACTCTGAAGATCCTAACTTTGGTCAGCTTAGACCTGGCACTCCTGGTAGGTGTTTCTATGTGCCCTGTTATGAGTGAATGCTCTATGTCCTTCTACAATTATTCTTTAGCTTAGAAAAATTTCTCTTACCCAAGGTATTTCTTTGATACTTAGAAATGTTATTAAAAAAAGTTTTTCAGAACTGAGGTAATGAGCATCCCTAGATCATCATTTCATTTATATACATAATCCAAAAAAACCCTTAAATAATTTTCCTTTTTTGTTTTATAAATTACCATCATCAAAAGGATGGGAGAGGAGCAAAGTGAGAAATGAAAATGTTACTCTGGCTGAAGAGGAAGGAGTGCATATGAGGGTGTGTGTGTGTGTGCGTGTGTGTGTGTGTGTGTGGGAGTGGGTGTGTATGAGAGAGGAGGTGTAATGTGCTTTGGTGTTGATTTGTTTGACTCTGTATGAAGAGACATCTCAGTTTAGAGGGAAACAGTCTGAACTTGGAATCACAAGACCTAATTCTAGATTCTTTCTATCTAGTGCTCCTTCTGTCACTAACAGTAAGAGCTTGGGCAAACCATACAGCTTGTGTGTCTCAGTTCCTGCATCTGAATTCTAATTTGCTTTTGCCTTCTGAATTTCTATAAAGTCGTGATGCTCTAACACTGTGCTATACATCAAAGCAGTACCACAATGAAGTGCATATAAGTGCTTACCAGTTATTGAGCTACATCAGTACTGTTCTCATCAGTTTATATTTGTGCCTAATTCTGCTCTCATCTCATGTTCTGTAACCCTGTTTCTATCTTTCCCTAGTATTTTCTTTCTTTATTTTGGAGGAAAAATGGTCTTTTATGCCTCTCTGTAAACACTTCAGGTAAGTTACTATTCTAGCATTTGCTCCATAATCTCAAGACTGTCTTAGTCTTCAAGAAGGAAAATTGTGTGTGAAATTTCTATTGTGTTGGCCAACTCCACATGAACGCTCTTTTGCCCTACCTTATACTTGTGATAAAAGCTCTCTGGCTCTGGTGCACTGAATTTGTGTCTAAAGCAGAGCAATCACTCTGGTGAAAATTTAGGTCACACTCATATTCAAAGCCCAAAGTGGAACTCCTGAGAAAGATGTGCTTGGGGTCTGAGGAACTGCTGCCCCACTTCCAGACCACGAGGTGACCACTCCTGTGCCCATCACACACTGAGACTTATCCTGGAGCATATACTTACATTAATAAGAAAGAAATAAATATTAAATGTGTGGTTTCAATAAATTATGAATGCTTGAAGTAAACATATTGATATCAGCTCAGATTCCATAACAGTTGTCACTATGCAAGTGAAATGATCTATAAATATATATGAATACTTACTGTATTGACAATTTCTCCCCATGAATTCACCTGGGCACTCACAGGAATAGTTAGCGACATGATCTGTACATATTCCACCATTTTTGCATGGCTCAGCTTCACATTCATTTATGTCTGTGGGAAGAAGAAAGAACATAGGAAGTGAAGTACAGTGAGAAAAGGATTAGTTATGGAAGGCTTGGGGCATTACAAATAACACAAAGTCTAAGTAATGCACTTACATTTTGTGTGTGTTAATCTTGAGTCAATAATACAAATGCTTCTTAAATTTATTAACAATCCAATTAAATCAAGTACCAATGGAACTGAGAATCCAAATGAAAGACCCACATAACTGAACCAGTCTCCAATCAGAAAATAAATATGAATAGTGCAGAGAAATAGTCAGTGTGTCCTTAGAACTAAATCAGACAAATTAACCCTGATAGAAGGATGAATTGGCATCACTTACAAGATCTAGAAACCTCCCTGCAGCAACAACTGCCAATTAACGCTGTCTCATTTCATCTTAATTCATTAAAATCCTAACTGACAGAGATGTTTTAGTTTCTAAATAGTTCTTCTTTGATGAATGCGATGAGAAACAAATTAGAGTTAAAAGCTAAAACTCATTACATGCAAAGTATAATAAATGTAAATGATGATCACTTCCTAATCTCATTCAAGGGTTTCTAAAGTTAGAATGACTAAAGCAACTTATCCTTGATATACTGTTATTACACCTGATGCAAAATCATTGGCAATATAAAACGTTCAGCAAATTTTACAAATTTCTCTTCTAATTTTGGAGATAATGAGTGTGATTTTAAATAAAAAAGAAATAATAACAAATTCAGTCAGATGTTCATCACTAATATTTGCAAATCATTCCCTCTCAGCACAGCACCATACAGGGCTCCGTGGAAGCTGGTGAAGTGGTCGGAGGACACACGCCATTGCTTTCTCTTCCTGTCGTCTACTCCAATAAACCCCCACTCGGCCTTGCTTCCCCAACTCTATTATTTTTTCAACCTTCTTACAGACCTGAATGCCATTACTTAGGAATTGTCTATTCACATGCCTTTCACCTTTCATCTAGTCAGACTGTGAGCTTTCCAAATCCAATGCCTGCCTCGCATTGGTCTTTGTATCTCTGCATATGACTCACATTTCTGGTGAATGCTATACCCAATAAATCTTTCCTGATATTTAAAAAAAGATTTAAAAAATTAAAAAATTATATATATATATAATTTCAGATATGTAATGTGCCTTCTGATATACTACAATGTATCAAAAGGTATTTCTGAAGTCCTGGGTTTTCATAGTACTTATAGTAATATATATGACAATTAAGTTACGCCTCAAGAAAAAAAAACAAGGGCAAAATACTAAAAATGTTTCTTTTAAACAGTATCTCTTCCTGGAAGCAAAGATGTCTATCTCTGGTTCTAAGTTTACTGTACAAGTTTTGGTCTAAATTTCCTTAGGCAGGTGATGACTTTCTCTGAAAAAGAGATCCTTTTTGCTTTCTGGTTGACTGTCACAGTTTGAGAGTAAAAACAATTTATGACTGCGTTCAGAAAGAATGGAAACAATTTCAGTATGTTATAACATCAGATAATAGAATAAAACCAGAATTTGATAGTCTCTAAAAATAGCTGTGTATTATAAAATACAATAGACTTCCAAATATTTAACACTAAAACTCTCCAGAAATAAAGAAAAAAAAGAAAGGAAGGAGTAGCTAACTTTCTTATATAATATTTAGCTGTTTTTAGTCATAACAAAGTTTCAGTTAGTCTATATTGCACTAACACAAAATATTTTCATTAAATTTTGAAAGAGGCACAAAAGTCACTGTACTATTTATTTTTTGCAAGCTCAGTGTTTCTCTTTATCATATTTACTAAGGTTTGTTTTCAAAGAGAACATGTCAATGGCTGGTAAGTCTTGAGGTCTTAGAAAGTGAACTGCCTAATTTTATGTTAGACATAAAAAGTTATTCTTTGATATAGTGATAAAAGAGAAACTGAGTATTGATGTCTGAAGATCACATAAAAGAAATACAATACGATCTTGGAATTGAAGGAAAGGTTTAATTGGGATTAATATAGTCAGGATGAAGATAGTGGTGGATCTCCAAGCAGGAACCAAAATGAGGCACAGATTTGAAGAGGAGAGCTCATGGTATGATGGTGTGTTCAGGTGGGTATAGGAATAGCCCTGTTTGTCTGAGAAGAGAGCGGGAAGAGAAGTACTGGAGCCCACATTTGAGGATGTGAATAGGGAGCAGATTATAAGGATACTTCAGTGACACTTGAGGGAAATTGCTTTTATGTTTTAGCACTGCAGGTCTGGAACTGGATGGGAGGCATTCTCTGTACCCTGAGCTTTAGAATGACCTGGTGAAACAATAATGAGGGATGGGCTAAGAAATGAGTCAAGGAAGGCAGGATGGAGACCTTCACAAGACTCGATGTTGGATGGAGATCTGTACAAGACTTGATGTTCATAGGCACAACATATATTTTAATTCTCAGGTGAGAGGCTCTAAGCATTTTCTTGTTTTAAGATTGAACTACTTCATGAGTAAAATCAAAACCAAATCTTGCTACTTCGAAATGTTAATAGGAGGAAGTTTTCATAGTGCATGGCACAAGAACAATTAAGTCTATGAAGGCAATACTAATCAGCTTCTGCTTATTCTGCAGGAAAGATCTGTAATGATCAACAAAGGAAATTATAATTAATAACATCTGATTCTAAAAAAAGAAAACAAACAAATAAACAAAAAACAGCTACAACTTTACCCAGGCATTAATGTGAGGTAAGATAAACTATAATTGCATTGCTGAAGTGAAAATGCTTTATAGCCATACTCAATTTGTGATGAAGACAGCCCTTTATTGTTTGGGCACTTTTCAATTTTTTTCACCTTCGAAAGCTATCTTAAATCCAAATTCATAAAAACATAAATGCTATATTGAGTTATGTTCTGTAATCTAGTAGCAAAATGAGTAAAACATTTCTACATATGTACATATCTAGTAACATGTAGGCTCAGAGAACAGACGCAAGTCACACAGAAGCAGTTGTATATTAGTATGATGTGGAAATTCTTCCAGCAGTGAAGGCTATTTGCACTGTGATTAACACTGCAAGCAATCTAAGTGGAAACAGATCTCCATTTGAATAAATCATGTTTAATTAAAGACTAGATATAAATGTTCACGAATGTAATGTAATGAAAGAAAAACGTCTTCGTAATAAATCACATACACTTCTCTTTTGCACAGATCAATGCATTATCATTTTAAGAAAAAAGTTCACATCTAGTGCAAATATATTAGACTATGCTAGATTATTTTTTATGACTAAGAAGAATTTGGCACAGCAGTCCCCAAATAAACTAGCAATATATACATTTGGTTATATTTTTAGTTTCTTCAAAATATAATAATAATAGCTATTACTTCTGAGGTTTTTGCTTCTATGATTGCCTAATGAGAACTGTTTAAAAAAAACCCTATTGAAAACTGGATTTTATAATCGAGACACTCAGTTGAGTCTTGATTCCTCACTTTTGACCCATAAATATTTGCTGTCCACTGTCTTGTCTAAGACATAGTGTCAAGAGCTGAATCTGCATTTCCAGATGTAAACTCAAGAAACATCTTTTGTGGGGGGTGGTTAGGAAGAGTAGAGGAGGAAAAATAAAATATGGTAAAGAAATGCCAGAGAGGAAGAAAAGAGTAGACAGATGGTCACATTGGCATGCATTTCTTTGAGCCAAAGAGGTACTCCAGGCGTACTGCCATATCATTCGCTCTGTCGTAAACAAGCTACGTGGCTTTACTGATAAGTTAGACTTTTTATCAGTACCACTGTGTTTCCCTTAGCCCATCTGATGCACATCTGTAAAGGTGTCTTTATAGTATACTCTCTTTTTCTGGAGTTTTTGCTAACAAATAATTGGTCGGGTAATTACCATTTCTTTTGTGTGGTGAGGATATTTAAGATCTACTTTCTTAGAAATATTCAACTCTATGACACAGTATATTAGCTATAATCACCATACTGGGCATTAGGTCCCCAAACTTGTTACTTTTATAACTGGAAGTTTCTACACTTTGACCAATATTTCCTCATTCCCTACTCCTTTATGGCAAACATTACTCTACTCTATTTCTCTGAGGTTGTCTTTTTTAGATTCTATGTATGAGATCACTCTTTATCTTTCTCTGTAAATTCACTCAGCATAATGCCCTCCAGATCTCTCGAAGCTGTCACAAATGGCAGGATTTCCTTTCTTCTTATGGGTGAATAATATTCTTGTGTGTGTATATGTGTGTGCCACATCTTTTTTACTTGTTGATCTACTGATGGACGATTATTTGTTTACATATATTGTGTATGCTATATAAAACAGCCTGAACATCCCCCCACCCCAAAATTAAATATAGCCCTACCATGTGATCCAGAAATCCAGCTTCTGGGTATTGAGCCAAATAAATTGAAATCAGAATCTTATACAGATATTGGTTTAGAATATTTTGAATACTGACAATAATTTAGACCGGTATATACAATCTTTCTTGGAACAGAAATCCATCTAACCTCCTCTTTGGTGGAGACAAAGACAACTTAATTCAATCATAAACCTATTTGCTTTTCATCCCCCAGTATATCCAGGCCCTAGGAGAATTAAGCAGGAACAATTGATTATCAGGCTCAGCAGCTTCATCTTTATACGTTAAAAGGACACTATGCTTAAGCCTTCTATTTCCTTTGCAAAGAAATAATTTCTCGACTTCCTTACTCCTTTCCCTTGGGCCGTCTTTTCTCCTTGCAGTATTGTTATTGACTGTTAATTAGCCAGCAAGAGCCTATTTTCAAGAGCCTGCTGTATTTGATCCTTAACAACACATCTTCCCTGGGCTCCCCGTTAGCTATCAAATATTGTCGAGACCTCCTGTGAGTGGCTGCCTTTTAAAACTTGACCTTTTATTTTTATTCTTATTTAAGTCTATGGTTCTTTAATTTATCCCAAATAACAATTGTACAAGTTATGATGAGTTCCTAGAAATTCTGTTTTCCCACTTAGCTACAGAATTTACTTATATCATAAACAG